GATATAGAAATATATTTGAGATATACTAAATATTTACTAATACATGTATGATAAAGTTGAGTGCGCATATGATTGTTAGTTGCAACTATAGAACACACCATATATATATATATATATATATATATATAAGTGGGGTTTTAGTGGACAATTGAGCCAGGACCATACCATCTCGAAACCAGTTTGGCCATGACCGATTCCCATCCAAATCGGAAATAGTTGGGTTTTAAAATGTTATGTTATAGAAATGGCAATTCTTACTGAGAGTCGGCATTGTCAATTGCAATTCTTGATCTGGATCGGCGGTTTTTTATCTGCTTCGTCAAATTTTTAAATCATAGGTATTATCTTGTATTGACATGAAGAAGGCTTTTTCAAAGATTGGTATTATCTTCTCTGGACATAAAGAATGGCTTATAGCCATTATAATAGTTTTAAAACTCGAAATTCAACCTTAATGTGTCATTTGTCCAAAGTCCCAAATCAAGTATCGATGTGACTCAAAAATATCATCTACTGAATTCAGTCAATAGAGGTAATTGAGTTTTCCATGCTAATTCTTTCAAGGTTTTTCTACACCTTTTCTTGGTTTTGTTTTCGTTTTGACTTGGATGAGGTCCCTTTAGCATAAGGTGCCATAATCTTAATATGATATAATGATACTTTGTTACTGCAACTATTGAAATTCAAATTGATTTATCTATTGTGTTCATCAATTTTGCAGCTTTACATCATGGTCATGCAGATGGAGTCGCACTTGACCCCTGCATTCCAAGAGGTTATACCAAGAGTTCAAAGCTTCTGGGTAATCGAGAAGCTGTAGTGGATTTGGAGTTTGCAGTTTTGCACTCAGCTGGGAACTTTTCAGCCTGTAGATCTGAAGTTTTGGCATTATTCCAAAAAGAGCAAGGTGACGTCTCATTTGAACTCAGATGTCTTCAACTAATATCTAGCTTATGTGTTGTCTCTATCTGGCCCCTATACTATATGTTAGTATAGATTAGTCTCTGTTTGTTGTTATTCTCGAGGATAGCTTGATTCATACACCTCTCATTTGACGAATGGTATGTTACCGAAATTTAAAAAAAGAAAAACAATAAAAATAAAGGAAAAATAAACATTGTACATCAGATTGGGTTAGTGGAGATGAAATTCCTCCCATATATATTAAGTGAATATGCCTCATATATTCCTTTCTTTGGCAAGTGAGCCATTTAACGGATGAATACTCGAGGCATATTAAGGAATGTGACTCATATTTCTTCCTCTTACGCCAATTTCATTTGGATCCTCATGTATGTTTTGTGCTTATTTTATATAGCTGAACCTTATCAAATGAGTTTACTAGTGCCTTTTGAGCTTGTTAGATTAAAAGGTGGAAGAACTAACCTAGAGTATATTTTTTCAAATAATACAATCTCACTCAAATAAACAACTAAATACTCGGTGTCAGTGATTCAATAAGCGGACCGCCCATCGCCTAGGCGGTTCGAAAGGCCTGGGCGCATTGCCCAGGCTTAGGCGGCTAATTTGGGCGGTCGATCCTTGGCCGGCCACCTAGGCGGTTCGGAACCCACCTAGGCGGGCGCCCAGCGCCTAGTGCCTGCTCCCTGCCCAGGGGCAGAAATAACTTTCGGTAGGGGCAATTTTGGTCATTTTTTTTTTTTGTTTTTAAGGGCCAAGAATTAGGGTTTTAGGTTTATTTGAAACCTAAAACTTGTTGGAGCCAATTTTAGAGAGAGAGCCCCCAAAAAACTAGGTTTTGGTGAATTTTTTAGGATCGAAAGGTTTCTCAAAGTTAACAAAAATTGATCAAAACATCACCCATTGATATTAGATTTACTTTCTGATGTTTTGCATAGTTATTAGGGGGTTTTTTAGAAGATCTTGAGTATTTAGAAGCATCTTTGAGGTGAAAGTTTGAAGATTAAGCAATCAAATTCAAAGTAAGTGATTTTTTTTTATTGCTTTAGTAATTTGCATTATTTTTGAGATGTCTTCTTTGGGATCTAATAGGAGTGGTGATCTCCATTGGAAATATGGTGTACTGCAGTACTGGTGTGATGCTATTTGATAACTTGGTTTGATAATTTGGTTGGTTGGAAAATTTTAAGTTTTAATTGGATAAGGAGTATAAACCGAATTATGGATTATGGTTATGGTTATGCAGTGTGTGCTAAATGCTAATATATAGTATAATTTGAATTATGTACTGCAATACATATAATTGATATTGACATAACTGTCGAATCCTTATTTGGATTCAATTGGGTCGCCCAGGTTCTGGGCGCCCGCCTAGGCGTTGGGTGGCTTGGACCCCCCAGGCTGCCTAGGACCAGCCTAGCGCTTTTTGAAATACTGCTCGGTGTCTCAAAAAATTATTTACAACAACAGAGAGAGAAATCACAAATGAAATGCACCTATGCACAATGGCCGTTCACTTTATATATGCTAACCTTTTCTACATGTCTATACAGGCGACTGCTCATACCCGCATTGCAAGATAGGATCTGCTTTTGTTCCTGAATTGCAGGGCAACTTTTTTGCAACCGAGAAATTCTTCCACACTCCAAGGGTTAGTGAACCAATTATTTCAGTCATATATTTCTCTGGTTCCTGTTCTGATTTTCTAATTAAATGTTGCTTTTGCTCTTTCTTTCCACAGTTTTTTGGGCTGCACCCAAGGGCACCTCTCTCCGATTTCAAGATGGCTGGTGAACTTTATTGTGGGAACGATTGGTCCAAACTCAAGGAGAAAAACATTGAAGAAGATGAGGAAGATTTGTTGAAATATTGTTTTTCTTCTGCCTATATTGTGGCACTCTTACATGATGCGCTTGGAGTCTCTATGGATGATCAAAGGTATGCATCTATATCATGAACAATTCTTGATTGCACTCTCTTGCTTCTTTTCGATGTTTCCATGTGATATTGGTATATTATTAAATGAGTTTGCTCATCATGTAATTGCTTAACTTGTGTTAATTATCTTTTCAGTGGTTTGATCTATTTGAATTGTACTCTATTTTTGGAGGTGGAGACTATTTCCATGCTCAAAATTTGATCATAGTAGTTATGAAATAATCAAATGAAATGTATGATAAGTAGATGATCATCGTCATTGGGATAAGTTGATCATTGGTTTACAGGGAGTCTATGTAAGGGACGACGGCTACACCAATGTCCAATTTTTGAAACCCAATTTGCTAGACAAGGAATCTCTCTCTCTCTCTCACAAACACACATATGCACAAATCTACATTTTATGAAACTGTATAGGCACGGGTATCTATTCCTTGATCCCCCAAAAGCCTGCATATATGTGTGAGCATGCATGCCTCTGCATGTGTCTGTGTGCTTGTGTGTGTGTGTGTGTGAGAGAGAGAGAAATGGCTTTTTGACCTGGGTGGTCAGGGTAGCGGGGTGCCACATCGTGACATCTAGAGTTCCATTCTTTTTACAGCCCCATGTTGACACTAAAAAACGGATAAAAGAAAAAGAAAAGAAGTGGGTCGGAGAGAGAGAGATCATGTCCACCTGTGTGCATTGCAAATTGGAGACTTGAGAGAGTTGTGATTTCACAGTGCACATCTCTTTACATTAAAACTACATATATATGTGTGTGATTTGTTTTTAACTCTCGTAGATTTTTAAGGGTTTTGTTTTGTTGCAGGATAAGATTTATGAATCAAGTGGGCAATGTCCCCCTTGACTGGAGATTGGGAGCCTTCATTCTACAGTCAATCTTAGAGCCTGACCTCCCACAGGAAAAGCCAGTGTGGATTCTTGGGAAGGATTTTCTCACCTTCTTCTCTCTCTTTGCCATTTTTGTCCTTGTGATTGTAATTGCCTTCTCTCTATGGAAATGGAACAAACCCCAAGTGAAGACAATTTACGATTTGGAAAAAGGGCATTACATTATCACGAGGATTCCTCGGTGATCATCGCATCAGTCTGTACAATTCTCAGAGTGGTGTATTTGTAACCTAGCATTTGAAACTAGTGAGAAATGTTTTTGGAAAGTTAGAGCCCTGCATATGCGAGAGAGAGAGAGAGAGAGAGAGAGAGAGAGAGAGAGGGGCTTCGTGACTTCACGACCACTGCTGCCCAGTGATTTTGGGTAAATCCTGTGAGGTGTCATTTGTACCGATTTTGGAAGGTCTCTTTTGCTAGTTTCTGATCTTCTTTTTTGTGCTTCAAAATTTTTCCCTGTGTGGTTTATACTGGTTTTAGAGGTCTTTTATGTTGGTGGTAGTGGTAGCACCCCTACACTCTAGTCACAACATTGTGGTTTCAATTCTTACCGACATCACCCCACTAATACTTTCAAAAAACGAACTTCTAAATTAATTGAAAAAACAGGCAGGGGTTTATCTTCTCCACTGAATTAACCTAAAAAAAAAAAAGATGATAAAGATAGAGGGAAAATGGGAATTGAACTTAAATTCTGAGTTTCTAAGTCCCCATAAAAAAGAAATTACCTACGCAATTCTGCAATGAAGTGTTCGCAAGTTAAACCACAAATTTCTTCAGTTTTGGAGTATATCTCTCTCTCTCTCTCTCTGTGTGTTAGGTTTGGTGTCAAAACCACTATGTTAATGTTTTCTTCTAAGAGATTAAAGGTGTTATGATAAAAAAATATATAGGCTTTTTTATGAACCTAGCAATAAATCTTAATAATATTTATAAAAGCGGGTAAAGACGGCATAATAATCGGCCTTTTGGTCCACTATTGGGAGTCCTGGGGAAGGATTTCCAAAAACATAAATCTCCTAGAGAGAGACATGGCCTCCTAAAAAGGTGGTATTTATATTGAGTTTTAGGTTGTTAACACTTAAACTTCTATTTTTAGGGAGAGATTTTTTTGGTTCTCATAATTTCTCTTTTTGGTATTAGTAAAGCAGTGAGAATGATGAGGTTGATCAATGATGTTGTTCAGTCAGAGAGATGGTTTAAAAGAAAAGACCGGTTATATTTGTTTCGATGTTTAGAGATATGTATTTTATATAAATCCAAAACAATAATTTTTATTGTGATAGTTAATTTTTACTTGCCGATGTAGCCTTTACAAATGAACAACATCAATGTTGTCGTTGTTGTGGTGTACTTTTGCTGTTTATTTATTATACTTAATTTGTTATTATATTATTTATTTTGTATTTAGCCGTGCACCCTCTCTCTCTCTCTAAATTTGCCATTATAAGGTGCTTTGTTGAGGTAAACAACTCTCTAGAGTTTTCCATCATAGTATGCGTGTTGAGGTAGACAATTCGCTCTCTCTCTAGATTTGTTATTATGGTATGCTTTGTTGAGGTAGACAACTCGCTCTCTCTCTCTAGATTTGTCATTATGGTATGCTTTGTTGAGTAGACAACACTCCTAGGAATCTCATAAAATTGTGGACAAGGCTGCGGTATTTGTCTTCATTTGCCTTGGTGGTCAATTGGTGACAGGGATGGTAATTGATCCGATCATACTTGGGACGGTAATGGATCCGATCATACTTGGGACTCACCAGATAGACCCGCTTTGAAGTTTGGGTTCGGGTATGGGTACAAATTTTAGACCTAAATACTATTATAGTTTGAATTTGGGTGCAGTCAGACTTGACCTGTACCTATACTTATAAGATATACAATTACAATTATGTATCTTTAAGTGCGCGTTAGATATTCATATTGTCACAATATTGGCAATATTTACCATATTATTGGTAAAAAAAAGAAACTTATAATCATAGAGTATATAATGGTAAAAAAAAAAATGGACAGAAAAACAACTCGTATCCGGATATAGATCTAAATTTTAGTAAACTCCTCAAGCGGTTACCAAGGCTCCTATTCACTATTTCGGTCTACCCATCTGTTTGAGGATGATAAGCACTAGAAAATTGAATTTTGATTCCCATGTGCTTCTATAAAGTGCGTTAAAAATGATTTAATAATTTTGTATCCTGATCAGCTGTAATAAACTTAGGAACACCATTAGCCTTACAATATCTTTGAAAAAGAAATTGGCAATATGTGTAGCATCCATAGTTCTCTTACAAGGAATAAAATGTACCATTTTCAAAAATCGATCAACAAGAACAAAAATAGAGTCCATACCTCGTGTGATACGTGGAAGTCCAAGTACAAAGTTCATAGAGATATCAATCTATGGGGCATCTGGAACAGGAAGAGGAGTATGAAGACCTATATTTTGTGTGTGACCTTTAGATACTTGGCAAGTTTGACATCTGGTTACAAATTAATCAACATCCCTTCGCATACGTGGCCAAAAATATTTTTTCTCAAACCATAGCTATAGTTTGGTCGTTCCCAAAGTGCCTACCTAAGCTCCATGATTATCTTCTCCCTTAAGGAGCAATCAGGTATACATAATCACACCTTTAAATAAATAACTATTATGCATGAGATACTCACCCACAGGGTCTCGCCCATCAACACATCTTTCAAGGACCTTGTTAAAAATTGGGTCAACTTTATATAGGTCTTTTATTACTTCAAACCCCAACACTTCCATAGATAAAGTTCTAAGCAACACTACCCTTCTACTTAAAGCATCAACTGCCTTATTTTGGGTTCTAGCTTTGTGCTTTAATAGGAATGCTTGAAGGAAGGTCATCCACTTAGCATGTCACGCATTCAACTTCTTCTGAGAACTCAAATACCGAAATTCTTCATGATCTGAGTATAGAACAAATTCCCTATGAATTAGGTAGTACCTCCAGTAACACAAGGCTTGCACCATTGCATAAAACTCGAGGTCATGATAGAATACTTTTTACGTGCTTCATTTAACTTCTTGCTAAAGAAGGTCACTGGTCGCCCCTCTTGACTTAGAACTGCCCCTATCCCAACATTTGATGCATCAGTTTCAGCCTCATACACCTTTAAAAAAATTTAGTAAGGCAAGTACTGGTGCTTGGATCAATTTTTTTTAATTAGAATGAAGCTCTTTTCAGCAGCAAGACTCCATGAAAACCTTACAGCCCTCATACAATCAGTCACTGGTACTATTAGAGTGCTGAAATTTCTAATAAATTGGGATTAAAAGATTGCTAGGCCATGAAAAGAACGTACCTTAGTGAGTGACTTTGGCACCGGTCACTCAGCTATGGGCTTCACATTTTCTTGATCCAGTTTAATTCCCTCAGATGAAACAAAATACCCTAGAAATATGACATTGTCCGTCATAAATGAGCATTGTTTCAAATTTACAATAAGTGATTCTTTCCTTAGTACATCAAAAACTTGTTCCGAGTGGTTAAGATGATCTTGTGGGTTAAAACTAAAAACTAAGATATCATCAAAATAGACCACAACAAATTTACCAATAAAAGAACAAAGTACCTCAGTCATCACAAGCCACTCATAGAGTCTATCTCGAGTTTTGAATGCGGTATTCTATTCATCCCCAGGACGAATCTGAATTTGATGGTACCTACTCCTTAAATCAATCTTTGAGAATACCTTAGCTTCATGAAGCATATCTAGTATATCATCGAGCCTGGGTATGAGAAATCGGTACTTGATTGTAATTTTTGATTGCTCGACTGTCCCCGCATAGCCTCCATGACACATCTTTTTTTGAAGTCAGTAATACAAGGACAACACATGGTGACATGCTTTCTCTAATCAATCTCTTCTTAAGTAAATCAACAACTTGTCTGTGCAACTCTTCGAGTTCTATGGGGCTTATTCGATAATGGGCCCAATTTGTTAGGCTAAAACCAGATACCAACTCAATATGATGCTGAATATTTTTCATTAGAAGAAGACCATCAGGTAATTCTTCAGACATCAAATCTTTATACTTCTCAAGTAGAGGTTCAAGAGACCTAGGAATTGTAGTTGGTGCAGAATTTTCTTTTGCAAACAACATATAAATCACACATATGTCCTTGTTGCCCCTTTTTAATTTTTGCACATTAAGCAATTTTGGACCATCCTCTTTAGTGGAGTTCAGTTTAGGAAGTTGCTTCATAGGGTGGAGTGTGATATTAATATCATTATTGACAAAAGAATACGTGTTTGGTCTAGTTTTATGCACAATATCATGATCATAAAGCTATGGTCTACCAAGTAATATGGGACATGCATCCATAGGTGCTACATCACACCACACTTCATATTTATAATTGGTACCAATGGAAAAAGCGATTAAACATCGAGTAAGAACTGATACCTCACCTCATTTCTTAAACCACTAGATGTGATATTGACATAGGTGCTTATGCTACTTCCATTGAAGTTTATCCACCATCTCTTTAAATACAATGTTTTCACTGCTCCCACCATCAATTAGTATTGTGCATAACTTGCCTCTTGATGTGCAAGTTGTTCAAAAAATATTGTGTCGCAAATACTTCTCTTCTCACTCGGCCTTGGAGTTAATAGCATGGTTCACTAGACAACTAAGGCTTTCATCCATTTCATCTCCATACAACTCCTTAATCTCACCTTTGAAAAGCTCAGTCCCTGCATAAGACTGGCTCGTCCCAATATCACCCTGGCCTTCATAGCTGTATCCTTCATCAACATCTACTTCTTAATTTTCTATTGCCAAATTAACTTTGATAGGAGATTGACGTGAGGGGCAATTGAATGCTCTTTACCTTGGTTGTTGGCACTTGAAACACACAATTTGTGTATCGTCACGAGGTGTTTTGGGTGCTCCCAGCCCTCTCCCAACACCACCCCACCCCATATTAGGGTTTGGCCTAGTTTGGAAATTTTGAGAGGTTTGATTTCTACGCATCATAAGTGGTTTTCTAAAGGTTAAAGCTTGCTGCCCTTGTGTGGAAGTAGAGCCTCTTGTCATTGAATTGTTTCTCACAAGACCCAGATTGACTATTTCCTCTGCTTTGAGGGCCAAACTATAGGCATCATACATTTTATAGACATATTTGAACGCCAATTAATTCTGAATGCCTTGATTTTGCCCATTCAAGTAGCGACTTATTTTTTGATCATCATACTATTGTAAATTTGCCCTAAATGTCAAAATATAGAACTCTTCAG